TTCGGGTCAAAAATGGTGCCCTAAATAGCATATTCTACATTACTTTTTATTTGGGCCCCTCCTAAAATATATTCCTGTATCCGCCCCTGCACAAAAGTATTAGTTTTTGCGACGTGACTGACAATATAAAAGTTATTTTAACGCCTAGGCATAAAAGTAAATCACTTTTACGCCTATGTATAAAAGTACGGAAATATATTATTAAACCCAGGGGCGGGAAAGTGAAATAGCCAAAGCGGTTCCACCGTTTCCACGGAAATTTTTAGGTTAAGAAGTTGCTACTAGTTATTGCCAGATGGCGTTAAATTAGAATTTTTTTTGTAGTTTCCATAGTTTCCAACGGCCATTGTCATACTATTGTCAAATTCTCAAAAAATATTGTTGTTGTCATAGCCAATCATAATATTATCAAATGATCAAAACGTTTCTCAAACTATAATTTGTTATATGCGTTTTAATTAGACAATTCCTTTTGTTTGTGGCCCTAAAAATATAATGTAAAGTCTTTTATTTTTGCCATCATTTAAGTACCTATTTATATTTACTCCATTTACAAAACTTTGGGCGTATTACGTTGGTCTTGTTTTATTATAATAAACGATGTTTAAATATTTGACTTATAAATAAAAACTTTAAATAATAAATAATATTTACACATGTTTGGCTTTAATTTTATTTAATAATTTTATTGTATAAATTATACTGTTAAATCTTATTTTTTACACATCACAACGATACTTGTCATTAGTATTGTTGAATTTGTGTAAAAAATAAGGAATGGAAATTGCGAAGAGATCCGTTAAGATATGTATATAAGGCGCTCGACAGTTTCAGTTTTTGAATAGTGATCTATAAATAGCGAACTATAACAAGTTTGCGAAGAGTTTTTAAAAACTTCGTTGTGCCTTGTAATCAGTACAGGCTGTGTGTATATAGTTGGAAAATAAATTCATTAAGTGATTTATCATTTATCAAGTGCATTTTAAATCGTGGACCCACGGGATCCGTAACAATTGGTGTCAGAAGTGGGATTCAAGAGGACTTTTTTTTAATTTTAAAAAGAAATAAAGTGGATTTTGAAGATTTTAGACCGGATTTGAGAATTTTTATGGTTGGAACTAGAGAAAAAGAGAAGAAAATGGAGGAAGTAATCAAGTTATTAGGCGATTTTATGGAGAATATAGCAAGAGAAAAGGCAGAAGAATAAGAAAGATTACGCAAAGAACGAGAAGAGCGAGCCCGATTAGCAAGAGAGACAGAAGAGGAACAAGACCGCCTACAAACAATACTTCAAGATAATTCATCAAGAGAAAATTGACCGGCTTGAGAAAATATTAAGCAATTTGGAAATTCGATTGGAGAAGCGACGTTATAGAGAACGACATCTCAAAAAAATCAACATCAAAAAAATCAAGAAATTAGACAAAAACGGTTGGAGAAAATTGTTGAAGATTTAGAAGTGCGTCGCCAGAAGGACAGAATTGAAGATCAGGACCGCATGCAGAAAAGTCTCAAAAATTCGTTAAGTGTTTTATCGTGCATTTTGAATTGTGGACCCACGGAATCCGTAATATTTTTCATTTTTACTAGAATACTAAATTTATGAGATGCAGAATTTGCAGAATTTTATGAAGAAAAAAATGAGAAACTTTATCCTTTTATCTGGTAACCTTGATACTACTAAATATCTTCATACATATACTAATTCATGTTTAGTGTTATATCGTGCCAATAGATAAACATTCAAGCTTTAGTACTTGTAAAATGTAAAAAATCGACAATAAAACGACCAACGGTCAGGTACTGTTTCCTACTTTAACATTACCAAACAGGTAATTTAAATACTCCAATAATAACAGAACCATCCAAATCGTACAGAACAAAGTTAATTATAGGCATCGTAAAAACAAACAGACTGTAAATATCGTAAAAATAACGCGGTCTTCAATAAAATATATAACTAAAATATTGTAATAAAGGTACGTTCTTTTAATGAGATTTGGCAACGAAAAGAAACAAAACTGAATTTTATTTGTTTTAAATAAAAATATACTATTTTCACATTAATTTTATACATTGTAGTGGACAAAAATACTGTTGCAAATAAATATCTTTTGAAATTATGAACAATTATTTATTGCTACCATATGTTACCAAAGGTAAATAAAAATTTGATTTACTGTTTTTAAGTTGTCAAATCAAAAATAACTTTTATATTGTCATTAACTCAATAAGACAAATAATTTTATACCAGATTTGTGTCTACATGTATAAGAAAACACTAGTATATTAATTTTAGAAGTTGTAGACCAAATAATACTACGTAATAATATTGTTACGATCAACGATGTATATACAAAATATTTTGATCGACTGCCGGGGCGTCATCTTTCTGGAGATCATAGAAATAATTCAACGGTGGTTCCTACATCTAAAGTGCCACCTAGCGGAAAAATTCGAATGGTGCACCATCTCTTGGACAATATAGGAAACCCAATTATAAATAAAAGAATTTTCTAGTTTAGAAGTTACCGGAAATATCATCTGTAGTATATAAAGAGCGGCGAGCGTGAAATTTGAATAAATCTGAATTAGTTTTGAAGAAACCAGAAAAAGGAGAAATTGTTTTTTTTTAATTATTGTTAGTAGTTATAATTAAGTTGTTTATATAATAAATCAGTTAAGTGTTTTATCGTGTGCTTGTTTAACTAAGGACCTACCGATTCCGTAACAATACCAATGTAAAGATATCTAGAATTAAAAAAAATTAAACAAATTAAATACTATTATATTGGCTCCATTCACGTGTAGAAAGAACAGTTAATTCAGAACAGCTGATACATAGTAAATAAAAATGTATTTCTATTATGCTAATTTTGCTGTGAAGGTCAGTAATAATAAATAAACAATAACATATCGTTTCAGATACATACATAAATATTTCCAGTGCAATATTATCATGTGCAACATGAACCTTAAATGGGTATTTTAGATTCCATTAAAACATAAATAGCTGTTTACTAATTTAATGAATATACTCATATTTCTAATCTGTTCTGAGAATCGCAATTAGAAAAATTTACAGTTATATGCGTGATTTTTGTGTGGTCGGCTATATTTCTTCTTGTATAGTTTCAAAATAAAACAGAGAACTATAAAATTATTTTTACGATATATCAAGGTGATGGAAATGTTATAAAGTTTAAGTTTTAAACAGCTCGAGTCCAGATATTTCTTAATAAAATAAAAATGAAAAAATATATGTTTTTCAACGATAGACAATATTTATGACCCATTTTGATTTCATTAAAGCAACAGATATTTTTAGCAAACCTTATAAAGGTGCGTATTCATTATCCGAACGAACGAACGAACGAACGAACGAATGAAAATGCGGTATATTTAGACGGGGACCGAACGCATGCGGCCGTTCGTTCGTTCGTTCGCTCGACCATCCGTTTCGAGTCGGTACATCAAAGGCGTTCGCCAACAAATACCTCTGGTCTTCTCGTGCGGTCCTATCGTACGGTCCCCGTCCATACCACTAGCGAACATTCGTTCGTTCGTTCGGATAATGAATACGCACCTTAAAGGTGCGTATTCATTATCCGAACGAACGAACGAATGAAAGTGCGGTATATTTAGACGGGGACCGAACGCATGCGGCCGTTCGTTCGTTCGTTCGCTCGACCATCCGTTTCGAGTCGGTACATCAAAGGCGTTCGCCAACAAATGCCTCCGGTCTTCTCGTGCGGTCCTATCGTACGGTCCCCGTCCATACCACTAGCGAACATTCGTTCGTTCGTTCGTTCGTTCGGATAATGAATACGCACCTTAAAGGTGCGTATTCATTATCCGAACGAACGAACGAATGAAAGTGCGGTATATTTAGACGGGGACCGAACGCATGCGGCCGTTCGTTCGTTCGTTCGCTCGACCATCCGTTTCGAGTCGGTACATCAAAGGCGTTCGCCAACAAATACCTCCGGTCTTCTCGTGCGGTCTCTATCGTACGGTCCCCGTCCATACCACTAGCGAACATTCGTTCGTTCGTTCGATAATGAATACGCACCTTAAAGGTGCGTATTCATTATCCGAACGAACGAACGAATGAAAGTGCGGTATATTTAGACGGGGACCGAACGCATGCGGCCGTTCGTTCGTTCGTTCGCTCGACCATCCGTTTCGAGTCGGTACATCAAAGGCGTTCGCCAACAAATACCTCCGGTCTTCTCGTGCGGTCCTATCGTACGGTCCCCGTCCATACCACTAGCGAACATTCGTTCGTTCGTTCGGATAATGAATACGCACCTTAAAGATGCGTATTCATTATCCGAACGAACGAACGAATGAAAGTGCGGTATATTTAGACGGGGACCGAACGCATGCGGCCGTTCGTTCGTTCGTTCGCTCGACCATCCGTTTCGAGTCGGTACATCAAAGGCGTTCGCCAACAAATGCCTCCGGTCTTCTCGTGGTCCTATCGTACGGCCCCCGTCCATACCACTAGCGAACATTCGTTCGTTCGTTCGGATAATGAATACGCACCTTAATGTGTCATGCTTGACACAATAAGATTCCTTTCATTTTTGAACCGCAAAACATTAAATATCATATTGTACCGCCTTTATCGATCCATTGTCTTCATTTGATTAATTCAACTTTCAACATATTCTTACCGATATCTTTGACTATTCATGAAATGAAAAAAACGAAATTCACTTCAATTTTAGTGGTTTGGTTGAATTAAAAAAACCGTAATACTAAATATTGTTGTCTTCGTAGATAAATATCAGATGACATTTAAAACCTCAGATAGTATCTAGATCTGACACCTCATTGTACAGTAAAAAGGTAGCTTTATATAGTGGTAATATTGAATGATATTAAGAACTTGTAATTTTTTTATGTACATATCAACAAATTATGTTATTAAAATTTAATGTTAATTAACAAAAATATACATGATCAAACAAACAAGGGAACAAAAAAATAAATACCGAAAATCCCACCTCGTCATACGTCGATGAACCCTCATAGTCGCTGTCAGTCCAATAACTCGAACTATCTCTATTTTCATAGCTATAATTATCATAACTATCGTTCCTATCTTTATATTTAACCTTTTCTTCGCTTTCCTCCTTAATAACCTCCTTTTTTACGCTAAAATCGCTATTGGCTTCTGGAAAATATATCGCTAATTAATGTAAATGTTTAACGTTTCACCACGGTTAAGATTTATTATATTTGCGTTAGTAAATCATCGCTCGGTATTACGTTCTGCATATTTTACATTGATGAATACCTGTATTCTTTATTTTATTATAAACTATTCTAGAAAACAAATCTTAAACATTTGTGCGTAACAGTTATAGATGGCTTTAAGGCGCATTTATCAAGTCAACTGATCAAGGCACTTGAATTCATTTCTCATGAATGTAATATGACAGTCTAAACTCGACAAATCATACTGAATGTACATGTTACGCTTAAAGTCCGATATCCGGTTAATGTTGACATTAACAGGTTAATGTTGTTGGTTTTAACCGGGTAATGTCGATATTAACCGAATATCCTTAATCGTAACATACCTATATATGAAACACACAGAAAAAAATTCCACTCCTCCAACTCCTAGTGGATGACATACCAAGAATGTACACTTGTGAGAAACACCTCACTGTAGTATTGAGCAATAAAAAAGATTGGAAGAAACAAATGTTTGCTATAAATAAAATTTTGGAAATAAATGTTTGCTCAGCATGTACGAGTAAAAGACCATACCATGACGTGGTATACTGATACTTCCAAATACAAAGCAGGGACAGGAATAGGAGTATTCCTATAGTACATCCTACGCTATTGAAAGATACGTCCAACTTATCTTAAATAGGAACTATCGGAAACAAGAAAGAGCCATCTTATCCGATAGTCACGCAGCATTAAGAGCGATAAACTTAGGAACCATTAATTCGAAGTTGGTCAAAGAATGCCTAGAGAACAAACCTGACAATGCCTGCTGAACAAATCAGGCAAAAAAATAAAGTCCTCCTACTCTGGGTGCCACCTCACTAAGGGACAGAAGGCAATGAAAAAGCAAACGATCTAGATAGAAAAGAAGCAAACACTCCACTAACTGGACTAGAACCGTTCTGCTTTCCAAGTGGAAATTAACTTAAAGCGGAACTCAAGAGCCTGGAAGACTCCATCCGTCATCTGGAATAGGAATTACAATTTTCGCAGTTTGAAAGTACAGCCTTATGCATTTTGAAGCAACTAGCAGAAGCTTTTTGATATCAAATGTGTGAATACGGAATATTCTTTCAAATCAATTGAGTTCCTGTGACTTGATAGTTCACTTGACTTGCGAAAACACCCCCTTCTAATAAAATAAAAATACAAGGTATCCGTAAAAAGATATTGCCAGTAGTTTATATTTTTTATCCAACTGTACACCTATAATATTTTTCCACAACCAAGATGAGCGACTTTAAAATTTAGTTTTCAACAAAAATACATTTTTGAAATTTTGGGAAAGAAAAAGAACATTGAAAGATTAATTTATAAACCAACTGAGAATTCTATTAATTTTATGCATTTAAGCAAAAAAACTATAATAAAAAACAATGTCATAAAATACAATAATGCGTGATTTAATAAATGTAATATTAATACTTTCTTGTTAAGAATAGCTTAATAAGTATGCAAATTAAACACTTGATACTGAATAACATTAAAATACAATTTTCTATTTGTATAGGCACCTTAACATAAACGTGCGTTTGGAAAAAAAATCAAAACGTTAGTTACGTTAGTTTCTGTCCCTTGTCTAGTTTTTAATTCTGTGAACTTTCTTGACAGTCGTGGAGAAATATTAATAAACATAATATAAATTTGTTGCGGGTTTAATACCGATGGCAATGTAAATATGTGACTCTGTACAAACCTTTTTTTCTGGGAGCGGTCGGTAATGCAGAAAACAAAGCTTGAGCGAATATCCTCGACGCAGCTTTTCTTTGAGATGCGGACCAAAAATTTTTCGAGGCAGCGGTGGTGTCCAGAGAGGTGGTCATTGTGACGAATTAAACTCAGCTTAAAACAGTCAACTGTTCATACATAATTAATTAATAAGAAGGAAATATTTCATTATCTGATAAGCATTCCAATGAGCCTTTTGTGAACGACTTAACTACTTTTTTCGTTAAAAAATCGGCACCACCTAAAAAAGCTTCCTCCATAGAGGTGGGTAAAACTTTTTCCAAAAAAATAAAGATTTTTCAAAATAAGTCTAATAATTCCGAACAGCAAGTCCTAAATTAAATTTTGTAAACTTCCCAATTTAGTCAACACATGTCCCATTTACAGGGGTTTTCAATTTTACTATAAAAGGTAGACACGAAAAAAATATGGTGCGTCTGAAAAGTGGCTCACCACTATAACTTTTTTTATTATTTCAGATAATAAAACGAGATTTGGTGTGTTAATATATGACATAAATTAAGATTGATTGACGTATTCAATAATTGTTTTCGGTCACTTCCTGTTTCACAGGAAATGGCTTCCAATTTTGATTTTTTAAATAACGCCTTCGGTATTTTTTTATTTTATTCCATAGAAAATGACATTTTCAATAGAATGACGTATCTCATGTCAACTTTTGACATTTTCGCACATTCATTTTCGAACGACATTTTGACTCGAAATACCAAGTGGGTAGTATCAAATTAATCGTAAAAAAATACTTTTTCCAAATATGCTAACGATTCACCCTCGTTCCACTTGAAAAAATTGATATATGATTAAAAATACGATTTGGGCATCTTTAAACCGACCAGTACAGGACATGAATAATACTAGACTATCAAATCTATTTTTCCAAGGCTCCTTGATTAAAAATTTGTGTTTTTAACACAGTCATGGAGTCATGGCATTCTAGATTGAAATTTAAAATACCATTTTTTAAGCGAGAATGTCAAAAGTTCACATATGACATGTCATTCTTTTGAGAGTGTCATTTTCTATCGAATAAAGTAAAAAAATACTGAGTGTGCTATTTAAAGATCAAAAGTTGTAGTCATTTTCGGCGAAACGGAAGTAACCGAAAACAATTGAATACGTCAATCAATCCTAATTTAAGTCATATACCAACATACCAAATCTCATTTTTTTATCTAAAAAAAAATATAATTAATAATAATTATAAAATAAAAAAAGTTATACGGGTGAGCCACTTTTTAGACGCACCCGGTACATAAAACTAATAAAAACAATGTGAAACAATTAAAATTGTAATTTTTATTTAATTCTGCATTATTTATATTAACCCTCTGCCACGGCACTGGCAAAATAGCTTTAGTGTCAACTGGTAACAATTTTGTTCCTAGTGTCATTAGTCCTTGTATTCTTTAGTCACTTGTTTTTCGTAATAAACAGTCCATCACAATAGTTTATTTTAAAAGTTACAGCTGTTTCAAAAAGCGCATGCCCAGATTAGTATTAACTATATTCAGGTCCCACACAAAACAATGAATGTCAAAGGGCACACTAATAATAAAACTAACAAATGCTTGTTACCCTTTAGTAATTAAAAAAAGTATACCTAATAATACTTAAAATTACAGTGAAGATAATCATATGCGTCAAAACAAAAAATCAAACGTGACCCTAAAAAAGAACGCATAGCGAAGAATATGCGCATGTGTAGAATACAGACAACTATCAAATATACTTTAGAAATAAAGTCCAAAATATATCTCCTTGTTGTTAATTGTTTAATGTATATTTATATATCAATTATATTTAATAAATGGTGCCGATTATTAATACTCTTATACGTCGCTATCATTATTTATCATATTTAGTAAATAGAAATGTGTCATGTATACAATTAATGCATTAATTTTAGAGCTTCGCAATAGTTTCTTCTGCAAAATATACATATTTAAACTTACGCTACAAGAACAATATATCGAATGCGACCACAATGCCACCTGTCTGGTTTAAACGACGAACTAAATTCGCACCAACGCAGTAACTTAGGTAAGGGTGGTAACGACGTCATCCCCGGTCATCGTGGCGACCCCTATCGCGGCTGACCGTCTCATCGGGAGGCGCGCACGCACACATGCGAGTAGCCGCTCACTGACTCAATTTCGAAAAACGCGACGGCCGGCCAAAAATAGATCGCGCTCTGGCAACGAACCAGTCTAGAGTAGGCGCGCCGACTGGCTACAGATATATATTTGTGCATTACACCGAAACAAAAATAAGTGGTTGTACAAAAAGAACGGACGAAAAACATACGCATTCCGCGTGCAGACATGCCTCTGGTATTCCTGGAATTTATCAATTTAGAAAAAAAAACTTCTTACCTTTGTTAATTAAAATCATATAAATTGTCGATACGAGAAAAAAATAAGTGGATAAACACGCATTCCGCGTGCAGACACAACCGTTTGGAATTTACGAATAAAGAAAAAACTTCTTAATATTAATCATTAATATAATATTAATTGTCTACAGGGTGACCCAAGTACCCGAAAAAGCTCTGTATGAGGTTTATTGTGGTTTGAGATTTTTATTTCAATCTTGTTTATAAAATTGCGGGTAATAATATCGCTCATTTAATTTTTTTGTCGACCTACAGAGCATATCTATAAATAATGCTATACAGGGCGTCCCAGAAATAACTGCAAGAATTTTAACTGGTTGTATAGTTCCACGATACAAAGAAAACAAGGTATGATATTGCGCAGGTTGGTGACTACGTCACAGGTGATAAACGGTTTGATAACCATTGGTCGGCAAGTTCCGCGCGCCAATTTCAAATTGTCAAACAGATGACATAATAAATGTGTCATAACTTTTCAAATCTCAAGCTCGTTGATTTGACATAACTTTTGGGGTTATGTCCTAATTCTTCCCTATTTTAGGTATTTTTATTAGTGGCAATTAAACAATATGGATTATTTTTTGTATGGCTTATTGACGTCACAGGTGATAGCGCAAACTGAACGAATTTGGAGCCGCTATATCGATCATACCTTGTTTTTTTTGTACGATGGTATAGTTCGACCCAGAAGCGCGCCCATGAGGTTTTTCTGCGAAAAAAAAAATTTGAAAATTTCATATTTATGACATTTTCCGGAAAATATTGAAAAACTTTTGAGAGCCGCTTGTTCAGTTTATGGAAATTTGTGTATTGCTTCGAAAGAATGCAATGTTGCCACCTCCTACGACATCCACATTCTATATGTTTATAAGTTCTAGATCATATTTTGAAATTTCTACAAAAAAATACTTAAATAATTTTATCCACTGTAGATTTTTCTGTGGATTACAATAGTGATTAAATAAAGTATAATGAAACATCTATTATATTTTAAATAACTTTTTACAGTTGAGTAAAATGAATTAACGCAACTAAATGAACAATTATTATAGCAACTTTTCAGCAGTTCAGAATCAGCGCCCTCTATAGATAAGTAGTAAAGTGGATAGTAATAAAAAGTCAACGTTTGACCTACATTTAAACAAATCAGCTGATGGAATTTTTAGGTTATCCAATTCATTTGAGATTTTACTCAAAACAGTAAACCTCTGACAAAACTAAAAAAATACCCAAATATAAGGTAAGCCCGTAAAAATACTTTTATTATTCAAATAGAAATATCAATTATTTTGATGTTTATTTACAAAAACAAGAGTGGAGATAGTGATAGAAAAAATGAGGAGTTTAAATTCTCAAAAAATAATCCTAAATAATTCAGATAGCGTATGAATGTACGAGTATTTTGTGCCAAATACACGTGTAAGTATAGTGCTGTAAAAAATCGCAGTGAAAAGAAGTGTTGTTAAGTGCAGAGTTGAGGTTTTAGGTAAAACGATAAAACGACGCTCTAACCTAATTACGTCGATCTGCTATCTATTGGAGTCCCGTTTTCTAATGTTAGGTAAGTTTTTTACTTTTATTCTGAATTTTCCAAGGCGTTTTTAAATCTTTCTAATTGATGTCAACACTGGGCGTCGAATAAGCTCAGATTCTGGTAATTGCTTGGTATTTGCGGCTGATTATCAATTGCAGCCGGCGGCTCTCAAAATGTTGTCATTATTTTTTTTTTAATTCTCAAAGTTAAATAACTCGGTTATTAACAATTTATTTTAAAAATGGTAAAAAGAGTGGTATATTTAAAATGGTAAAATGGGAAATTCAATAAGTTAAAAATAAATAGCATTCGATTTAAAAATATTAAACTTTCCTTGGAAAATATTTTTGATTCAACAAAAACCTGTATCTTACTAACACTATATTTAAAATGTAGGCATTTATTGTCCGCATATTTTACAAAAATACGCATAGTAAGATATGGAGCTTCTCGGAACGCTGAATCACCCTGTATACCAAGGTAATTATTGTGCGAAACAATATGTGTTAAATCATTAATTACTGCTAAAAACAATAATGTTAAATATAACCAGAGAAACGATCAGAAACATTCAACTCTTTCAAGATTAATGTTAAGGTAGTAAAACGTAAATTTTTCCTTGTCATTTCAGAAAAGTAATGCCACCCATGTTTTTTCAACCCAAATTGCAATACTCAATACCACGCGGAATTTCAAGCCTCGCAAAATCAAGGTTTCAAAACAGTCGATAAATTATAGAAAGATAACGTCATCTCTTGCAGATTAGGACGCATTAAAAATACAGATGCCATTTCTCATTCCATTTAGTATTAAATTTTCGCATCTGTCATTTATCACTTGATGTGATTCTTGATATTTTCATTTAGCACGTCATCATACATTTGGTGTATAAAATGATGAAAACCAGAAATTACACATCAAGAGTGTTCTGCAGTTTAGACTAAGAAACAAAATAATTTTATTAAACATTTATAGATACCCGGTATATTTCAAAAGTGGCTCGCACCTATAACTTTTTTATTTTTTTTTCAGACAAAATATCGAGATTTGGTATGTTGACGTTAGTTGATTGAGGTATTCAATTATTATTTTCGGTCACTTCCTGTTTCACCTGTACTACAACTTTTGATTTTTAAATTATACACTCAATATATTTTTACTTTATTTGATAGGAAATAACACAGAACGAATATCTGAAGAATGACATGTCAATTTTTGACATTTTCGCTCAAAAATAGAATTTTAAATTTCAATTAAGTACTAAGTATGTGGTACCAAATTATTCGTTAAAAAATGCTTTTTCCTGATATGCTAATGAGCCACCTTTGTTTCATTTGAAAAAATTGAGATATTATTAAAAATGCGATTGGAGCATTTCTTGACCAGACAAGAAACCACGCGAAAAAATACGCGACTATCAAATCGTTTTCCAAGGCTCCTTGATTAAAAATTGGTGGTTTTAACAGACCCTAACCACTCTAGATTGAAATTTAAAATACTATTTTTTTAATGGAAAATGTCAAAAGTTGACATATGATAGGTATGTCATTCTATTCAGAATGTCATTTTCTATCAAATAAAGCAAAACAATATCGAAGATACAACTTAAAAATCAAAAGTAGTACTAATTTCCGGTGAAACAGGAAGTGACCGAAACTAACTGAATACGTCAATCAATCCTGATTTATGTCCCATATACTAACATAAAAAATCTAGTTTTTTATCAGAAAAAAATAAGTTATAGGAGTAATCCACTTTAAATTAATTTCTAAAATAATCCGAATTAATTTAATACTATATTTATATTAAAGTTTTTACGTCTAACAAGGATATAAAATAACTTTAATTTTATATTCATAATAATTAATACTCATAGCATAATAAACAGTAAAACTCAAACTGATTTCTGCGTTCAATGTAATCAAATTTTAATTCGATTACGTAGCATATAAATTCTTAGGCTAAGGGAAGCAATTTGTTTGTTAATTAAAAATATTTATTATGATATTGCAATAAAGTTTTCTATTATTATAAAGCGCGTCAAACTCGGATATTTTTTTATTAAATATTAAATATAATAGTTGTTTTTTATATAAGTGTTGTTTTATCCATGTCAGAATGTTTCAATTTTCGAAAGTGGATAAAATGCAACTAAAATACGAATTAAATACATTTTATCCACAAACACCGATTTATCCACCACCAACGTTTTGTCCACAAACATATTGTCAAGGTGTATGGCGACATATTTCGGGAATTGAAAAGCGCGCCATCTCTTAGACATTCGTGGAAAAACCAGAACCACATAGCGGAAATTTCTGGAACCCAAAAGAATTCTATAGAGTTCTAGAATGGAAATTTCACGAACCCACCGTTTCAGTATATAAAGCGCTCCCTGTGCTCGGCAATTAGTTTTGAATAGAGTTCTGTAAATATCGAATTATAATAAATAGACGAAGGTTTTTCTAAATACTTATTTGTGTTATTTCATTAGTATGAATGATTATATTTCATTAGTATTCTGTGTATATAGTAGAAAAATAAATTCGTTAAGTGTGATTTCCTTTGTGTTTGGATAAAGGACCCACGGAATCCGTAACGATATTTATTTGAAATTATCAAAATTGCATAGGAAAAATTAGCAGAAGGCATTATTTTTAAATTCGATAGCGTTTGTTGTTATGGGAAGCGACATAAGCAACATACGATAGCGTATGTTGTTTAGCAGTGATACAAACAAAAGCTTGACAAAAGTAAAATTCCTGCATTTTTTTGCCGAAGCTCAAGGAGCAAATACCCATTTACTGCCTGCGAAGTCTAAAGAACATTAAGAAAAAGTGTTCGCCGAATTTAACGAGTGGAGAGAAAAACTGAATGTAATGTCTATAAATTACGATGTCAAACAACGAATTGGTTCAATAATAATGTTTATGTTAATAAATAAATTAGACATTTTCAGTATTCCACTAGTGGAATAAGGTTACTTTATCTTACTAGTGGATAAAATGTCATTTTAAAGGTTTCATATGAGGGGTTAAATCTCCTATTATTGTAAGTGTGTGGATAAATGAAAATTATGTAATTTAATATTTATACATAATATTTATTATTACTACACCAGAATGGCATAATTTTAAACTTTTTAATAAAATATTCTGAACAACATAATAAATCAAAAAGATACACCGCTTTGTTTGTCAAAAATAATAAGGCAATTTATTTAACATGTTAGTCATTCGCCCACTGCTTTACCTGTCAATATTACAAACCAAAAACTAACGTACATTTTTTTACAATGCCACTATGCGCAAATTCAAAAATTTTATTATCAAATTGAAGAAATTTAAATTGAAAAAAACAAACAATAAAAACACTAATCCTAAATGGTCAATCTTACCAAAACCGCTCTGACGCGGATTAACGTTCAATTTAAACTTGGCGCCGCCCGCAAACGAACCGTCACTGGCTGTTTTAGCGCCCCCTGTCTGCGAGCGGCGCACCCATCTACATCCGATACTGACCTGATCGGAGTGGCTGAGCCGATGATGCCTCGGTGGTGGCTCTTTGTGCGATCGGCTGCTCGGTGGTTCCTTGTGTCTGTGCTTGTTGTGACGTTTCTTGCTGGTGGGGGAGCGGCGGTGGCTGCGCTTGAACCTGCGCTCGGCGCTGGACCCGCGCTCGTACAGACGCGACCGGTGCGCCCTCTGGCTGCTGCAAGAAGAAATAGAGAGGTGTGGTACTGGGCTACAGGGGTCGTAAGGTTGCACCATGTAAGGTAAAAAGAAAAATAAAATAATTTAAAATCAAATTACCTGTTAAACGTCCCTCTTCTAAATCTAATAATTAATGTATTCAATTCAAGAATATTGCTATTTTCATAATTTAAATTATGTATTTAATACTAATAGATAAGTCAAAAATAATTTGTTAAGACTTTAACGATAAAAGTCTTCTTGGTAATATTTTCGACTAAACAACATAGCGGATGATCCCTGTTCAGTAAAAGACTTGGTTAAGTGTTTTCATTTATTATTGGTACCTCATAATTTCAGAGGAACGGAAGAGGGATGTGGTACTGCCTGATGAAGTTTGATTTGTTTAGAGTAGCCAACATACATAAAATCCTTAATCATGTGTTAGTGCCAGTTTGGACCGATTACAGTTTAAAAGATCACCAAACTTTTAATAACTGCAACCTCTATGTTTTATGGGATATTTGAAATATGACTCCAGTTCTCTTTACAAAGTTGTGTTACAAGACTGTTGAATACTAAAATATTGCTGTTCTTGGTTTCGTAGTCAAATATATTCATTGAGAAAAACAAAAAGGTTAAACAGCCGTACATCTGCTTGTGTACAAATGTCCTAATTAAAGCTTGCCAGTTCCAGGAAAGTTCGGGGTTTTATCCTACCATCAAGAGGAAACCTACGAATGGTTACTTTCCTTGACGTGGCAAGCTTTAAACAGAAAATTCGCACACAAGCAGGTGTACGTTCGGCGGTTTAAACTTTTTTGCTTTTCTTAACCCCTGCTTTAGCACATCTCTTGCGTCGGTTTGATAACTTCTAATTTAATTGTTTAAAAAAGAAAAAAAAATTTTATGAATTAAATTTAGAAGAAAAGCCAATCTAATCTAATATCGATGTCAGACCTGTTTTTCTAAGTTCACCATAACAGTCTGTTGTTGGTTTTCCAATTTACTTTAATATAGCAACTGATTATATCAATGATATTCATATGTTTCGACAGATTCATGTTTCTTTATAACTGTGCATTAGGGTATCCGTTATTTCCCAAGTTGATTTTTTTGCTGCCTCCTCTGAAATTTTAGTTTTTGCTCTAAAAAAATTATCCAACCTAAACAAGCTCTTAATTTTTAATTTAAGCCGTGTCGGAATCATGATACTTTTCCCATTTAAATAACATGAGATTTTCTGACCTTTTGCATTTAATTTTTTATCTCCAAAGCAAATGAACCTACAACTTAGACAAAGACATATTCTAATACAAAATTTTACGCTCTACAAAAAATGTTCTTTTGTTTTTTTTCCATAAACACATTCCTTTAAAAGTTATTCGCGGTCAAAGTTATTGCGCACTGAAAGGCAATGAAACAGTAACCTTAAATTATAGTTTTGATCAATTGATCATAGATGGCGCAATATTAGTTTTCCATATTAAAGTTGGGAAATAAATATTGTTTTATTGAAATAAGTACGGCTCTAGATCCTTTTTTAGTGAAAATCAAAAGGCGCAATTAGAATTTGCAGTGAATGATAGAAAAATTTGATTATAAACTATGTGCATAACTTTGACTATTAAAGGAATATACCAAAACCAAAAAAAACCTTTTTTGTAGAGCGTAAAATTTTGTATTAGAAAGTCGAATTATTAGTCTTTGTCGAAGCTATAGGTTCATTTGCTTTGGAGATAAAAAATTAAATGCAAAAGGTCAGAAAATCCCATGTTATTTAAATGGGAAAAGTATCATGATTCCGGCACGGATTAAATTAAAAATTAAGAGCTAGTTTACGTTGGATAATTTTTTTAGAGCAAAAACTAAAATTTCAGAGAGCGGCAGCAAAAAAAATCAACTTGTGAAATAACGGACACCCTACTCTGTGCATGCATATTTCTGAACCACAAATGCAACCTTGATTAATTCGTGAAGTTTTCGTGGCATTTCGAGATTTCCCCTCTGTTTCAGTAATTGCGATCAAGATTAACCAGGCTTGAGGCTACATTAGCAAACCATTGAATGTTTCTCGGGGTAATACAAGTAGTGTGGACACGCATTTTTCGACTTCCATCAACGCTCAAAAGTATTTCGTCAAAGAACTTAGCGAATGGTGTTAAGGAGGTAAGAAACAGACCATACTCGCTTCACAAATATTAAAAGCAACGGCCTAGCTACGTTGAAACACCGGTTCCCATTAGAACACCGAAGTTAAGCGACGTAAGGTGATACTGGTGGATGGACGGGTGACCAGTTCGAAGCTCTGTATCGTGCTGTTGTTCAAGGGAAAAGTAAAATCTATTGATACACACTGCTCATTCACGCCGGTTCGAGGCCGGATGAGATCGGATATCTCATGAGTAAGAATTGATTTAGACACTTCCTAAGTCGGTAGGCCTTTGACCATGATATGGCCGAGGACCGCGGTTCGGATTCCGCGTAAAGAAAGTAGGCCCCGTCCAGATTAGCCCTGGCAGCAAAAAGGAGACGTTAACTGAAATCTTTACTTTACTTTACAAATATGAAAATGGGTTCTTTCTGAAATAAAAATAATAAAAAATAGTAAATAAAACTACATATTCCTAAATCTAAATTTATTTCAATTAAGGTTTAAAGCATTGTATAAAGTTACCATTTAAAAAAAACATAATAAAGGCACTATAATGATACTGGCGAAATTAAATTTGGCCTACAACAACACAAAACTTAAAACAAACTTATTTTTCCTCCTTAGCCAACAGATCTAAAGTAACATTATAATGATTCTTAACATCTTCATTAACAAACCAGCCAAATTTATTTTTCATCGGACCATTTTCCGTACATTTCCGGTAAGTCGCCGTGTGTTTCAAAAATCGTTTCAAACTAATCTTTGACATTTCAACTTTTGTACCGTTATTCGCCATGTACGTCAAAAACTGTTCCACCAAAGCGTTCTTATTATTGGCATTTCCATGGATGATGTTTAAAAATATCGGTATTTGTTCAGGAGGTAGCTCTTGAACAGGTTTGCTTTTCTTTTTGTCTGGAGATGAAAATATTTCTTTTCGCGGTTTAATTTCTATTTGGCCTTTAAATATGGCGGCAAAAGGTTGAAGGTATTTTAAAACAGCCTCCTCGACATTGTCTCCTTTTTTATTCAGCCATATACATCCGATTGAGCGTGGTTTCAATTTGTGCGTTTTCGATTTCATGTCTTCGTCAAATTCGTCTTTAAGAAGTTTGAGTTTCTGCTTGAGCGATTCCGGAGACAATTTAGCGTTTTCCTCGTCGTCAATTTCGTCATCGCTCAAATGACCGTGAGGTACGAAAAAGTCATTATCCACCTCATAATCATCTTTATCATTTTCCGCATCTTTGTCTTCTTCATCGCCAGACACGTCCAACGATTCACCTTGTTCTTCTTCTTCCCAATCATCGTCGGAATCTTCTTCGTAATTAAAGTGCGAAGTATCTTCCTCGAAAGGACGTCTAGGTCGAATAACAGCGCTTTTCTTTCTCCAAGTGCCAAAATACGCGGGCCTTCTGTTTTCGTGAAAGTACAAAAACTTCGCTTTTAATTTCTGAACGTTCGAAGTATCTCCGCAAATTGTTTGTCCAAGAGTCTTATCCTCCTCGACAATAACTATATCGTCATCAACTTCCTCGTATGGCCACGTTTTGGAAGTTTTTCCAGGCTGAAATGTCTCGGACTTAATATCATTCAAGTACGAAGCCGTATTATCTTGATTTCGAACGAATTCATCTAGTTTTTCTAGAGAGTCTTTCGATAAGATTTTTCTTGTAGGTGGTAATCTCATATCGGCTTTTACTTCGAATGGCATGAACACACACTGAGTAGGCTTTTCCACTTTCTTTTCTTTAATAATACTTTCAGGTTTCTTAAAGAAATTAACAAATAGGGCAGCAGTTTTTTGTTTCTTTTCCTCTTCCTTCTGTTTCTCCTTGTTTTTCTCTTCAATTTCCTGCTGCTTCTTTTGTTTCTCTAATTCCTTTTCTTTTCGCTTCTGCTCTTCTTGCTCTTCCTTCTCTTTGCGTTTTTGTTCCTTCTCCTCTTTTTCTTTTTTCTTAGCTTCTTCTTTGATCTCTTTTTCTTTTTTCTTCGCTTCTTCCTTAATCTCCTTTTCTTTCTGTTTCATTTCTAACTGTTTCAATCTTTCTGCCTCCTTTTGTTCTTTTATTTTCTGTCTTTCAGCTTGTTTCTGTTTTTCACGTTCCTCCCTCTCTTTTTGCTTTTGCTCGCGTTTCTTTTCAGATTCTAACTTCTTTTGGAGTTGTTTTGGTGTAAGCGCTTTCTTAGGAGTAGTAATCATTTTCCTGTTATCGACTTTATCAATATTTACTTTAGTAACAGATTTGTTCTCGTGTTCGACAGACTTCACATCAACTTCGTTATCCAGTTCCTGAAGATTACTTTTTTCGTGTTCCTCTATAATAATAGACTTATCCTCAACTTTATCTTCTATTTGAGAATCATCATTTTCTTCCACTGTATTATCGTTATCTTCAATGTCCGACTTCATCTCAATGTCGTTTTCTAGGTTCGGAGGGTCACAATTCTCCTGTTCTATAGTATTAGTATCTTCATTAACAGGCACTTTATCATCAGAAGTTTGAACAATACTATTTGCAGATTGAACTTCCTTTGCACCCACATCGGTGTCTTCAATATTTTTCAATGTTTCGACATCTTCTACCTCATTTTCAGTTGTCGGCGCTGGGCTGTCTTCAGAACTAAAACAAATAGGTTCTGTCAAAAGAGTTTGATTCCGTTGAAGTCGGCAAGTCGTCAGCTCCAGCCCGAGACCAAAATGTTCCCTTAAAACATAAAAAAATCAAAGCAGTAGTGTGTAGAAAACAATACAGAATCAATTATTGGTACAATAGAATTTGGTTGAAAAAAAAACGCAGGAGAATTAAATAAATTAACGAACATATTTAAGAGATATTATCTTAGTATTACCTAACTTATCAAATTTTAATGTGTAGGTGAAACAATCGAAAGAAGTTAATGCCAACTGGTATATTAAATTATTTATAAACTATATTCATACATTTTTTCTTTGTAGATGGAGAATAGTAAAAAATAGAACGTCTGTGCAAGTCCTCTTGACGAAATTGTACAAAATGTTTTTTTTTTCAAGTAAAGCTCATTTTTGAGTGTGAAAAACATAAAAATATTTTTTTTATTTACCTCGCTGTAATATTTATTTTAGTTTTGTTTTACATTTAAAATAACGTCTGTTTTGAAACTTCAGAATTACAAGACCTTTTAATTTTAGAAAAAAAGGTACCGATTTAAAATTTAGTACAAAATATGATGTCATACACATCAGTTTTCAATATTACTTCACATGAATATGTATGAAGGAAATATATCAAAAAATGTTAATTTTTTAATTTCATGACGATATTTTTGAAGAAGCAAGTTTTTGTAGTAAAGTTTAATAAGGTTGTATTTCATTCACAATACATAATTAATAATCTAATCGATATTATTAAAATAATTAATACATTGTCAAGGCCTTTTTGGTGTATATATTTAGCACCTAAAACGTTTTGTTTTTGAAACGCCAACATTAATAAAGCCTTTTACAAACTAAAAATAAAGAAAAAATATTAATATGCCGTCACTGTAGTACATTATGTAAACTGTTACTAGTAACAAACAAAACTCTATTATGCACCAATAATAGCAACCAATTTTCATGTAATTCAACATTTACCTACCGTTATTTCGGTCTAAGGTGGAAGTGACTGCATGCTTCATCAACACTACAGGTTACCATTATCGCCAACTATACATTCTAGTTTTTTTTTAAATTATTTGTCGTTACTACACGTGTGTTCAGCTGGTTACACAAACTGGGGACACCAAAACATATTGATATTTTTTTTATTAAAATATGAATTAGAACACGCCTTCAGGAAACCTGACGACGTTCATAGCACAATATTCACGCTTCAACAAGCTCTGATTTTCAACCATTACAAAGTTATTACACAAAATTTATTATAAATAAACGGTTTTTTTGCCTTAATTGTTCGGGCCGCTTTCTACTCAATTATATTTCAAAATAATATTTCTATCATAAGCGTAGTATAAACAAATTATACTACGCAATGATCTTAAACAAAAACAGGAATGTACAAATTATGCAATATTGTTTATTAATTTGATACAGAAACCAAGTAGGTATCGCTAATATCCTTGATTTAAAATTGAATTCCATCGGCCTGAGAGAAAATCATAGAGCCATGTAAAATTTACCTCCAAAAGAATAAAACTGTGTTAAAGACAAGAGAGAAATACTTCATGCCAATTATTTAACCATGAAAACGGTGAAATAGGTATACAACAATAATGTCATTATCTAAGAATATGGTGTTACTAAAACAAAACACTTAAAATTAAATTATCGTTTCGTGTAAAAAACCACGCGGTTCGAAATTCACAAGACAAAGATCTCAGAGACAAAATTAATGTTGCCTAAAAAAATATTGTTCTATACGAGTATATCCTTATTAAGATATTGAATGAATTTGTTGCCTCATAGAAGACTTCGACACCCCTAAACAAGTACAAAATACTTATAGGTAAGTATAAATATAGTAAAGAATAAACGTTTCAAAAATTTACCAAAAAAAATATGTATTGCAAATCAAAAAGAAGTATCTTGAATTACAACCAGAAAAAATTCAGGTAAAATTCAAATATGTTGAAAAATATTTCATAATTGTTTAAAAATCAAAGAATTAAAAAATAACACTATTTTCCTCCAAGAATGCCAAAGAACATTTTAATACAACTCTCCAAACTCATATCGACACAATCGACCAGTAGAAAATTTTCAATGGAAAAATATACCGATCTGGTCTTCGAAACTGCGTGGTCTGGATTTAAAGTGTAATACAGTAGGTTTGTTCTAACCCGCCATAGAACCATCACCGAACGATCATGCTCGTGCGCAGTAATTCAAATGTGTTCCAACCGAGATTTGACGGTTATCGGACGATCCTATTTGCGTACCAACCTACCTTGGGATCGTTTAGTTACGATTTCAGAACGGTAATTTCGGTACATGGTCCCAATTGAGAACTATTTGGGTTGACTTGCGCATTAAAGAATATTGGCAGGGATTATCGATTTTTAAGAGCTGATTTTGGTCCGGCGTACGGCTGATGCTTCTGTCTTGGTTATTTTTTACGAATTCGAATACATGTGCTTTATACTTTTGCTTGTGAGTTTGTGTGGAGTAAATCGTTCGGAAATTTAAATTAATTTTTTATTTATAAAATAATGTTCAAAGATTCTACCACTGCAATGGAATAACAGGAAACTACGCATAACATGATCATAAAAGAGAGGATAGGTAAGTGAGTTTGTGAGTATACAGTTGAAACAACACTTACCAACAATTACTGGATTCTGTTTCTCAATTTCAAGAATAATTATTATTATAGCAAATTGCAAACAAAAATAATAGGGTTATGTTATGAAATTCTAAACAAAAACAAAAAACAGATCGATACACGCACGCTTGACACTTTTGACAGTCCCGAAAACAATCCACAAAGCGTTCCAACATTGATACTTTTTGCACCGTCACGAAACTATTCGAAGCACGCGCATGCTAACAAAGTGCAAGAAAACCGATTCAAGTACGATTTCGAAACGATCCCGAAATGCTGGTTGGAACAAACCTACTGATGTAAACAGCTTAATGACAAATCAAATGTATTGAAAAGAGATAAAAGTTAGGTGCTACATTTCTTCTATGCGGTATTGCCGGATGTTGTATCAAAATTTCAAACCGCACAAGTAGATGTTTACGTAAACTGTTGCATCTAGAATTGGAGATATATTATTTTCAGTTCAGTAGAATACATGAAAGTTTATAAAATAGTTTAATTTTTCTATACACGTAAAAACCGGCAACACTGTATGCCGCTTTTTATTTTGTCTCTCTATCTGTCAACCGGCCATTTATATTCATCTCTGTCGCATGTATTGAAATACAGACCACGCAGATGAAGTGACCAGGATGGTATACTAATAATATAAGTAATAATATAAATAGTAACATTAGAAAATCACCAAAACAAAACTTACAATCGATTTCTTCAAATATGGAAGAAATTCAGACCAAAATAAATATGAATAAAAGAGTTTTATATGCTTTAAAATTGTCTTTATTTTGTAAACATATTGTAACTAAATCGACAATTATGTTCAACTGTTACCAACTGTAAAATGATAACGAATCATTACAATATTCTGAGTTGTCAACCGTAAAACACCTCTACACTACTCGCGAGTAAGGCGAAGTAGATCAAAGTCGAATACTGAAGAGGATCATTTAGAGTCCCCTCGTCTAATGAAATTAAGCCGAGACGAAACAGCTTTAGACGAGGGAAACAGGAAATAACCTTCTTGACTATTCAACCTTGACCTACATCGGCTTATTTCGCGAGTAGTGGAGAGGCCGTTTTAGATTATACTGTAATTTCAATATTTTTACAAAATAAAAATAATAGAGCTTTAGATAACTCTTAATAATTCTTTGATATAATATTACCTTCAAACAAAGAACAAACATAATTGCATATTTTGGAGAACGGGCATGTTAGCTTTAATACACCTAGGATCTAGGAAAGTCAGACAGCGACAGCTTGCTGTTTTTCTTTAAAATTCCATTAATGAGTATCACACCAAAAATAACGAACAAATTTGGAATGTGTTTAAAAGAAAATCGAGAGATCAAAACACATCTAACGGTAGGGTATAAAATGCTTGTAAACCCATAAAATGCAACAAAGTTATAAAATAGTAAGATCATAAAATTAAGAATTAAGTGTTCAAGTGATTTATAATATATAGTTTTAAGAACTGCTAAAATAGCTGGATTCTATTTATGTGGCCAAATTTATATGTTCAATGCGCTAGTTACTATTTTTTTTATGGATTATTCAAGAATTTCAACATTCAACAAAATAATCAGTTTTAACCCTATAACCCCCAGAAGGGAGAAAACATCGTTTCCCTCAGATTAATCATCGCCACCCAATAGTGCATAGTTAAGAGAACTGTTAATTGTTAAAACAATATTTTTTCTCTTTATTAGATTGCGCTCAATTGCTTACTTTTTCTGGCTAATTATTAGTACTACAAAAAATAGATTTACTACAATCAATTGCATCGTTTGTAATTGATAATAAGCCAAAAAACGAAAGGTTTACTTTAAAGCGGGTTCCAACGTCATGCAACTGACGGTTGGCAACAGTGGCAATCCTACACAAAATATCTATTATGCTGGGTCAAGCAGACAAAACAACGACAAGACAGAAACAGTCATGTTTTACGACAGAATTGCGACAAATCCAATACATTCCTGCGACATTTTGTTTTGTCTCATTTTTGTTTTGTTTCAAAATTCGGAGACTTTTCAATGTCCCGTCTCGAGTCGGTAAAGATCAAAGTGTCTATTTTAAAAAATGTCTATACCTATGTCTTTTTTGTCTATGTTTTTTTCGTATATTTTACGACAAGTTGTCGGCGCAGTGTAGAAGGCGTGTGCTGCCAACAGTAGGAGACCAGTGAAATCACACATGGTTAATAAAACTCATTCGCAACAACTAAACTTTTGACTTTGTTGTACTTTTGTCCTTGCGGTGTGGACAATTTGGCTCAAGTTTGTCTTGTCACAATTCCCCATTTCTTGTCGCAAGTTTGT